GCCAGCTTTTGTTAATAATGTAACAACGGGACAGGCTAAGCCAGAGCCTGACTCACAACAGGAATGAGGACAGGAGAGCCAGGCAGTGGGGAGCAGTCGGCACGCAGCCGAGCTCAGCACAGGAAACTGAGCAGAAACGCTTCTGCAGCTGCCCTGTGGCTGACCTGCAGACTGCAGTGATGAAGTAACCCCGTCTTCTGTCTGGGACACAGTCACTCGGGACTGGATTACATATGGTGACGAGCAAGTAAGTGTTTTACCCCGGATTACATACGGTGACTAACAAGTGTCTTACCCAGCTATCATCAAAGCTTATCAAAGTAAGACCCAGACAGAAGTGTACGTCAATTGTCTGCTTGTGTGAAAACCCCCCTGCGTCTGCATTGCTCCGTTTCTGCAGTAGTAATGGACGTGTCCTAGACAAGATGGAAAGCTCCTGAAACTGTTGGAGCACAAAACTGGCCCGGCATCCCTTCAGTCATTCACGCAGCCTCAGATCAACCCCTGGCACTACCTATGGATCGGTAAAAGAAAGTTCCCTATAGCCTGTGCCAGCAGTGAGAAGGAAGGAGCGCATGAAGGACAGAACTCGTGACATGTTTAACACTGACAGAGTCACACCCAGCAGGCTTGTAACACTCGTCATAAACGCAAGACGACCAGCCTCCCGCTCTGGCTGGGGTTTTCATCTGTTTGCTTGTGTTCTGTTTTGTTTTTCTCTGCCCACTTCATCCAACCTGTTCAACAGACACGCTTCCTATTAAGTAGGGTGCTTTTCACAGTTTCCATGTGCAGAACACAGCGAAAGACACTTCCCACGCCTGGAGCCTGCTCGTCCGCTTAAGTCTTCAGAATTCTGCAGTTCGCCACCTTAGTGTTGCTGTCTTTGAATCTGTGACTGCTCCTGCGCCCGGTATTTATGACCCTCGAGACCACAGTTGGCTCTCCCCATGACTCGGTTCGCTAAAGGATACTTGCTAAGCCACTTCAGACGTCTAGGGATTTCCCTTTGGAACCGGTCTTCATACACTGACTCCTCCCCGCGCCCATGCTGCTGATCACACTGTGGTCTGTTTTGGGTGCTGGGGATGGGCCCAGGGCGTGGCCCACGCTCAGCACCAGCCCACCTGACTTCCTCCCAGCCCCCATCCTGTACAGTACGATTTCTCCTGAACTCAAACTTGCAGATCTGAAACTGCGAAGCGTGATCGGCTCTGAAGTGTTTACTTTGGTTCCTCTTCACTCCAAAGGCGAGGCGAGGCCAACTTTTCCTGTTTCCTATATGTGGCTGGCAAGCATTCTCAAGATTCCTCGGAACAATTCTATGGCCTTATCTGAGTTTTTAGGAAAATATGAAAATAAGTATCAAAAATCAGCAGAAGTTTTTCTATAATCTACATTTAAAAAAGAGATTAGAAACAATTGTTGGAAAACTATACCACATACCCAGCCTGTCGCAAATTACCAGATTTCAACGGAGTTTTAGGAAAGAATTCTTGATTGGAAACCACTTAAGAGACAGACTTTTGTTAATAGTGACTCTGGAATTCCATGAACTGTATGTCATTATGGAAACACAGGAATATGGAAGTGAAGATACAATTTCTACCTGTGAACCACAGTGACATACCAAAACACACCTTTCTCTACTGGGCTGCACAGTGGTCACTGGGCCGGAGTCGAGGGTGCACGTGCGTACACATGCACGCGCGTGCGTACACACACAACCCGGGCCGGAGTCGAGGGCCCATGCGGGTACACACACACACACACACACCATGTGACTATTGTACTTACTGGATTTTTCCTTTTTTATATATCAGCTAATCAATATACAAACTACTGACTGAAGGTGCGTTGGAGCAAGAAGGGAGCCGGATGTCTCTGACAGCCACATGACTTGAGCAGACAGAAAGCAGTGAGCAGTTTGGGACCAGACCCTAACTGTGCGAGCTCCTGTCAATAATTTACAAGTACCCTTGGGGCTAGCCAGAGCTGTAGAATAAATTCTGGAAACTAATGGCCCACTGTAAGTAACATGTGTTTATCTGTCAGTGTGGCTCTCCGGTGTCATGCACGCACGCACGCACACATACACACCATGGCACCCATTTGGAAGTCCGGACAATCTGCGGGAGTCCTGGGCTCCCCGACCACTATGTGATTGCTACAGAGGGAACTCAGGCTGTCAGGGTTCACAGCCACACGTTTCTCTGCTGAGCCATCTTACCAGCCCACGCACACATTTTTAAGATTGCAGGAAGCGGGAGAGAGTGGATGAGGCCACTGGTCTGACCTGAAATGAATCCCAATGAATTCCAAACACACATCTTCACTTGCCTTCTGGAGGCCGCCCAAATTGCCTCTGGAAGAAACAAACTTGGCCACTGAGCCACTAAGTGTCCCTGACCGTTGAGTCAGCCAAGAAGACAGCACCCAGGTGCTCACTGTGGCTGGATCAACAACCAGACTAAAGCAGCTCAACAAAATGAGACCGACGTCAGATCAGAGGGTAGGCAGAGACGATGTTCAGTTGGCGCCTGACTGTGACACTCCCCCAGATGCTGTCAAAGAAGCTGGGATCCACCGAGTCCAGTTAGATACTGCTAAACACACTGAACCACAAAAGTTATCACTGCACAGAACTCAAGTACGAAAGATAAACCTTCAAACCTTTCAGCACTAGGAATGAAATCTAAGTTACCATAAAGCGGGAGAAAGGGGTTGCAAAGCGTTCTATTATATTTAAAGTCGTATCTAGGTGAAAACTATTCAATCATACCAAAACTGCAAATTTATTATAAGTTTGAACAGTGCTGGCTCACACCAAGGTGGGCTTTGTTTTTTTATTTATTTTTTTTAAAGAAACTGGCACGACCCAAGTTATTGGAGATCTGGAATTCTACAAGGAAAGACAGGAGGTGCTAACGCAGCAGCTTTGACCCTCCAGGGAAGACTTTTTAGATCTATCTGAGCCTACCCCATAGCTTAACACTAGGACTGGGACTCAGAAAGCCACAGTCCCACCCGGTGGTGACAGCTTCGGCTTCAGAGGCGTAGCTCTGACTATTCCCCCACCGCTCACCTCTCCTTTCTTGTGAAGAAGCAACCAAGAACACACACAAGAAAGTGACATGCTCACCCTTTCTTGTGAAGAAGCAGCCAAGAACACACACAAGAAAGTGACATGCTCACCCTTTCTTGTGAAGAAGCAGCCAAGAACACACACAAGAAAGTGACATGCTCACAGCCGTCTAATGTTCCACACGTTCACTACCGATTGCTTGGCAGAACCCAGTTCCTCTGAAAGAGCAGCCAGGGCTACCAACCACTGAGCCATCATTCCACAGCAAGACATTTTCAATTAAAAGTCCTAAAACTTGCCGGGCGGTGGTGGCACACGCCTTTAATCCCAGCACTCGGGAGGCAGAGGCAGGCGGATCTCTGTGAGTTCGAGGCCAGCCTGGTCTACAGAGCAAGTTCCAGGACAGCCTCCAAAACAATACGGAGAAACCCTGTCTCGAAAAAAACAAAACAAAACAAAACAAAAAGTCCTAAAACTGAGGAACTCACTTTCAGCATTACTCATAAGAATCGGAGCTGCGCCTCTGGCTCTCAACGTAAGACTCTGGGATGAAATGCAATTTTCAAAGAGTTTGTACCCAGAGCTTTTCTTCCTTTTGTCTTTTTTGCACACAGTAAAATCTTACGCCGTGTTTCAGTTAAGTTCCCCTACTAGAGCAGTTGCTTCTTCCACAGTAGATAAAGGGGTTGGGGAGATGGCCCAGTGGTGAAGAGCACTGGTTGCTCATCCAAAGCACCTACGTTTAATTCCCAACACCCTCGTGGTGGCTCACAGTCATGTGTAATTCCAGTTCTGGAGGATCTGATGTCCTTGTCTGGCCTCCATGGGCACCATGCATGTAAGTGGTGCACAGACACACATGCAGGCATGACACACATACATGTAAATAAAGTAGATGAAGTAACCAGGGAGGATATAAGTAGAGCAGGTCCAACTGTGTTCCTCATAAGCTCACTACTAAAGTTAGTGGGTCATGACACATCCTTCTCATGAAAGGCATTAGTCAGAGTAAAGCCAGGTTCTCCCTCAGCGCCCTGGCGCCTCAGCACACCCATACCTGGCCCACCACCAAGCAGGACTCTAGTCCTTGCCCTGTCCTGTGTGCTCTGGTACCCAGGGCTTTAACTCTGAGTGCAAGCGGGACGCTCAGGGTTCCAGACAAGGCCACAAGCATTTCTTACAGGCTCGCTCCAGCAGAGGTAACGGAAACTTCTAAGATGGTAACAAAGTCCTAAGGGCCAGCAGAATACCTGCACCTACATCTTTTCTACCGAGGAAAGGACTTGTTTTCTACAAACCACCACAAACTACATTTCTCCTTCGCACGGCATTCTTGAAAACACAATTCCAACCAGAGCAACATCTTAAGAGTCCAGCTGGAGTTAGTATTTCCCAGAGTGAAACGGAACAAAACTCTCAAACCTGTGGTTGAGCACTGTGGGACCCGCGCCCCTTCCTCCTCTGGCACATTCTGGAATCCTCGCACACACGAGTGTCTTGAAAACCCTCCTGGCACCAGAAGCGGCACGAGCCACACATCTGGCTGACTCCTGTTGGCCTGCGGGCCGGTTTGTAGCTTTTGCTGTACCACCACACATCTCCCAAGAGGCACAGGCGCTCCTCAGTTGATCACGACCATCAGTGTGGCTTAGACCACTCTTGATGTTCCTTCGCTGTCTGAGGGATAGTCCACAGTGACCAGCAAAAGCTCCTGTGTAAAGATCATTTCACTCCCTGCACAGCACGTGAGACAAGCTATTCCTAACTTCCTCTTTTAGAAGCTTTAAAAAAAAAGGTTCATTCATCGTGTCAATGTAAGCCCTGGATGACTTCTGGAAGCAGATGCACCCATTACATTATAGAGCGTGCTCTCAGTAAACTATAATAAAGTAGACAAACACACACCTCTCCCTACCTTTCCTAAGCCTGTACTCTGGTGCTCACAACAGGCCCAGCAGCTTGCACTGACTCACGCCATCTGCATCCCGAGCAGGGTTTATACAGCCCTCCCTCTACAGTCACGAGACCAGCTCATGTGGCTCTGGGCAATCCTCGGGCTGCAAGGTTGCTCTGACATTGGCCACACCACTCTCTTAATGGCTCTCATGTGAGGAAGTGTCAGCTGACAGTCCCTACTCCACAACCTTGCGAAATTAGCCTTGGCCAGTGAGGAATGGGTGCCCACAAGAGCCAAAATGTAGACCTTACTCCATGGAAGGAGACTCGAGTGGGATGAGATACGGAGTAGGGCATATTCTTCCCATCATACGAGGGGGGGGCGATGATAATCAGAGACCACTGACAGCAAAAAGCCTCTCAGCCCTTGCCTTGAATTCCTGGGCATACCCAGGCTGAGAATGCCCCAATTACCAGTTCTGGCTTCGGACATCAACACGGCTCATCTGGATAGGAGAATGCTATGGGACAAACGTGAGTCTGTGGTCCATGGAGAAAATCTTTTCCTTCTAGAATAAAAACCACAGGTCCCCAAAACACAGGTCAAGCCTAGAAAACAAAACCCTACAGGTGACACTAATGCCCCTTTCCTGGAATTTGGCTGAAGAAAATGCTGGGGAAGCCTTGGCTGGCTCTGTGGTCTTGGTCTTGAACGTGTCCTTATCCAGAGAGTTATAGTTCACTCCATTAAACTCAGAAAACTAATGCCAGGCACAGGCCTTGGCTGCCTTAAGACAATTTACATGCTGTGCACGAGACAGGCCACCCTCCTAAAATGAACTAAAAGAAAGAGTCCGTGACCCCCCTTCCATTGTCTTCTCTGTGGTGATTGCTAAATTACGGTATCAAGACAGGCCCAGATGAGGAGAGAATGAATTCAGTTCTCTAGGAACAGCCTAAAGCTTTACTTCAGGCTACACTCTGGTTATGGTTCTTTTTCCCTCGGAACTTTCTAAAATAGCGTACTCTTCCAACAGACAATATTCAGATAGTACTAAGATAGTTCCAGTTCAAGGGACAGAGCAGCCTGGGGGCACAAATGGCCTCCTAAGTACCAAGTCAGCCATGCAACATCTAGACTAAACTTTACTGGGGACATGAAAAAATCAGGTGCAAGACATAGGAAAATGCTTTTCTACAAAGCAGAAGTGCTAGGAGGATGCAGTTCACTTTTTTTGTATAAAAGATTTGGGGGCGGGGCCTGGGGCTGGAAAGATGGCTCAGAGGTTAAGAGCACTGGCTGCTCTTCCAGAGGTCCTGAGTTCAATTCCCAGCAACCACCTGGGGGCTCACAACCATCTAGAAGGAGATCTGGTGCCCTCTTCAGGCATAATAATAGATAAATCTTAAAAAAAAAGATTCAAGGGGGCTGATCTGGTAGAATACCTGTCTAGCACGCCTGAGTCCTGACATTCACTCTCCAGCACCTCAAAATCTGGGCGGGTAAACAACATCAAATCATGGGTAGTAGAGGCAGTCTGAAACCAGTCTCAGATACATGAGACCCTGTCTTTAAAAAAAAAAATCAAAAAGACCTCACAGCTGGTGTTCGTGGGCACATGCCTTTATCCCAGCACTCGGGAGGCAGAGGCAGGCAGATCTCTGAGTTCGAGGCCAGCCTGGTCTACAGAATGAGTTCCAGGACAGCCAGGGCTGCAAAACACACACACAAACCCCATTTCAATCTCTACCAGATACTTACCTAGGATCTAAGGAAAGATCATAAAACACTCTTTTAAAGGGGAGGGGCATTAAGATAGAACCCAGCGCTTTATCCACGCTAAGCAATTCTTCTCCCAGAGCTATAGCCCCAGCTCTGGCATCAAATTCTTCTCAACATTAGACACTTAACTCAGTAGCTCAGGCACAAAGTGACATTTTCAAAGCAATTACAAATGCTGTGATAAATGCACATATTTTACCCCTTACATAGTAGTATATATAATAACTTTTAAAACAAGAATAACATTTTAAAAAGATATACTCTCACAAGTGACATGTGGATGAAATAAGGATCTGACTGCATTTGGATGGGATTCTCTTAAACAGAAGCTAACACAAAGAAGAAACCGCACACCTGAGAATCACTTCCTTAAATAGAAACAGCACAGCCCCCATGGGAATCTTACTGGTGGTCTAGGCCTTTGTTCTCTGAGCTCTTTATAATAATTTTAAGCACACTTTTAATGCCTACTGCAAGCTTACTTCCCTGTAATACATGTGTTTTAGAGTGCTAAATAGATTGTAAACTCATAGCATATAAAAACCAGGTCTTGTTATTCTCTGAACCACAGAGAGATTTTACATCTGGTACGTGCCCAGTAGACGCTTCTGATTGGCTTACTAAGCACTCCACATTTGCACTGAAGCTCTGACACAAATTTACTCACAGGAAACAGTATACCTCTGTGGCACTCTGACGTACAGTCCCGAGAGATGGGGGCTTCAACGTTATAATGTACATCCTCCCCCTACTGCAGCCAAGTTCCCGCAGAGGCTTCGAGAACCTTGTGATCATTCCAATCAATGTGACTCACATCATGTATTATGAGAAAGGACAGGACATCGAAACTTGCAAAAAATGTGAAAGTGACATTTCCTCTGCTACTATCTTCCTTAACCTTTAATCCTACAGTCCAGAATCTGATAAAGTATGATTAAAATACAAAACCACACTATCATACTTAAATTGGAAGCCTCTTTTTTACCCTAAACTGCTTTACGTTTAAATAAGAGTTTTCAAATTCCTGGGGTAAATGAAAAACAACTGTATCACCCCGAGTGTTTTTTCTGAGACGGAAGAGAGCTGGTGGGGTAGACAGATGAAAGAAAGATCTTCTGGGCCCTACAATGCTGTTCTTACAATCACCTCTCTCCTGAAGTGGAGTCACCTACTTACACAGGTACTCACTGCGGTGCATGACCGTGCTGGGAACCCTACTCTGAAATGCTACAAGCACACATATTACAATCATCATCAACTCTATCTGTAGTCCTACTCATGGTGGACGCCTCCACTCTCCTCCCAAAGCTCATGCACGCATTATAGAAAACACATTCCGCTAAAGCTCCCCCTTAGGAAATCATCTGCAGACCCACAGCCCAGCTGCAGCTCAGACCCTGCCTGGAGCCTCTGCTGCCACCACTGGCTCGGCCAGAGCACAGCAAACTTCAGGAGATGTTAGGAGCCAGGGCCAGAGTGTACAGAGGTGCCATGAAAAGAATGGACTACGGGTTCAAGTGTTTGGTCGTGGGGCTGAAGCCAGGCCCTCACAAGTGCTAGATACGCACTCTACCCCTGAACACGGTCCCACCTCGGCTGTTTCCAGTCACAAATCCCATACACAGAACAGCAACGAACACTGCTACCACTTAGACAGCAAATGTGCGTGCCCAGCGCTGCCTGGGGCAAGAACCTCTGATCACCCACAACAGTTTCCTGCTATGCAGACTCCTCCCCAAACCTCTCTGTACAATGTTCCAGCGCTCCAGCGCTCCAGGGCCACCTCCACCCCAAGACGGGACAGCAGAGGAAGGGGAGTTTCTTTGCCAGATGTAGAGTTAGGAGAGTTAAGGGCAGGAAAGTTGCAAGTTAAGTACTGGTGCAATTTTTTATCTCTTATATTTACACTTTGTCAGGAGAAGCAGTGCTCACAGAACATTATGAAAACCCAACTCAAAAGCCACAATTAAGAAATTGCAGCCGGGCATTGGTGGCGCATGCCTTTAATCCCAGCACTTGGGAGGCAGAGGCAGGTGGATCTCTGTGAGTTCGGGGCCAGCCTGGTCTCCAGAGCGAGTTCCAGGATAGCCTCCAAAACAATACAGAGAAATCCTGTCTTGAAAAACCAAAAAAAAAAAAAAAAGAAGGAAGGAAAGAAAGAAAACAGAAAAAAGAAATTGCTTAGAAAAGAGAAGAAAAAACTAAAACCTGGCTCAGCCCCTGCCATGTATCGGCATCTAATTAAGGTGTTTAAACAATCCTTCCCACAGGACACAGTGTTACAACCAACCCTTTGTTGTATTACTCCCTCTCTTCTATGACCCCTTTACCACCCCCAGAGCAGCTGACAGCGTAGCTGTGAGCTTTCAGAATGTGGGGCCCAACGGCAGACACCGAAGTATTAAAAGGTACTCTTTCCTGAGCACTGAGCAAGTGACATATGTAGTTTTCTGTTATAGTTCAGGAGCGCCAGGTGTGGCGGCACATTCCAGCACCTGGGCAGCGAGTGGCAAGCAGGATGAGAAAGTCGAGGTCGTGAGCGTACAGACGGCTCGGTCGTCAGTGTTTGCTGAGCATGAGGACCTGAGCTCCACCCATCCTCAGCACCCTCATGCAGGCCAGGCTCTGCACTGTAACCTCAGCACTGAGCAGAGACAGGACGGTCCCTGGGCCCTGTGGGCCAGCCAGTCCAGCTGAGTCAGTAAGCGGTGCTCAGTGTCGGACACCGACCTTGGAAATACGGTAGAAAATGACTACAAAAGATGTCTGAAGTTGACTTCTGGCCTCCCAAAGCACGCACACACAGTTCAAGGTCAGCCTTGGCTACTACATGGCAAGTAGATATGAGGCTATCAAGTACCTTGAGTTTCATTAGATTCTATGTCAAGGAAAAAACCAAAGCCCAACACTCACAGTCCAGGCCTATAATCCCAGCACTCCAGAGTATGAGGAGGGGCAAACGTTCAAGGTCGTTCTCAGTTACATATCAAGTTTGAGGTCAGCAGGGGCTACAAAGAGACCCTGTTACAGGAGGGAGGGAGGGAAGGGAGATAGAGAAAGAGAGGAAGAAAAGAGAGAGAGAGAGAGAGAGAGAGAGAGAGAGAGAGAGAGAGAGAGAGAGAGAGAGAGAGAGAGAGAGAGAGAGAGAGAGAGAGAGAGCGCATACAAGCTGACGTGGTGGTAGATCACACCAAGTGAACCAAGGTCAGGGAGTGTAAGAACTTTTGCTACAGTGTGCTTTAGGAAAAAGGCTTCAGAGACGGATCCGGGACTGGAACTAAGCTGGTCAGGAATTCGATCAGATGTAGAGAGTAACAACCCGACAGCAGCCCATCCACGCAACGCCTGCTCAGTATGTAATAAAAACATAACATAATACCCTGCCTGTCTGTGCCACAACATACCCGATACCATCTCAATTCGTCAGACAAGCATGACAGTCAGGAAACTTGGCAATATAAACAAACTCAGTTGTACTATACAGATAATGGCTAACTAGATTCACTGAGTGCTTATTTTGCATGCCAGGAATTGTTCTCTGGGTTTCTCTTAATCACAGGAAGTGGGTGGTAGAAACATCATCTTTTAACAGGGAGAACCAAGCACAGAAAAGTGAAAGAATAGCTCAGCATGGTCATGCATACCTGCAGTCGCAGCTACCCAAGAGACTAAGGCAGAAGGATGGCAAAAGTTCAAGGCCAACCTAGGCAACTCACCGAGATCTTGCTTCAAAAATGAAAAATGCATTGAGTATGGTGTATGTAGCTTGGAACCAGGGCAAGCCCACTTGCCTAGATTCTGCACCATGAGTTTCCAGCACCATGAAAAGATAGGAGGGGAGAAGGGAGGGGGAAAGAGAGGGTCAGAAACTGGGAGGGGACAAAAGGAAACAGAGAGGTATGGAAGGGAAGGGAGGGAAGCAGAGGGAGGAAGACATGAATGAGGGAGGGACTCAAAGCTTGTCATGCTGAGCCACGACTTAAATACAGGCACCTTGCTCCTGAGTGAGCATTAGGCTCGC